AGATCGTAGACTACATTGCGGATCAGAAGGACGTATATGAATAAAGACATCTCTCTGGTAGGTAGCAAGTAACGGCCAGGAGGCTGTAAATTGATATAAGACATGCCTGCTTCTGTCGGGACCTAACCTTCAGTACGACGGTGTGACTCATGAGGCGCCGGAAAGCCTCGGGGGGGCAGGCCCAGGTATTTGCAGCAAAGTGCAGCCTGGTCTGGGGGAACTGAGCTCGTTGACTTGGTCCCATCTGGAACAAATAGCAGCATCATTGGGAGCTTTGAGTGTCCCAGCAGAAGTGCGAGGGCTGCATAGGCCACAATGTCCCCCCGTCCCGGCAGGTCTGCGCGAGGGAGACGCATGCCTGATGGACAGAGCGTGGTGCAGCCTTGGGTCCTGCCTCTGCCTCCCCGCTCCCGTAAACCTGAGAGAGGCCAGTCACTTCTGTTGCACGCTTTGTCTTGCCCAAGTCACTTGAGCGCTGAAATGCAACCTGTGGATTTATTTTTTAACAGGAAACCTCTTCTGCCACGAGGACTGGGATGATGCCAGCAGGTGTACGAATGTAAGCGCACATTTCAGTACCGTGGCTGCTTTCATCGGAATAGTTCTGTTGGACGTTGTATTTAAAGCTGTTGATGTGTTGGCCTTTCAAAAATAAATATGTAAGACCACTGCTGTGTCGATGGTTCTGTCCTAGGATCTCTTTGTGCCACCGGTCTCATATACTTATTCTCAGTCCCCAGCGCTACCCTGAGTTTTCAGTCATTCAGATATGTCAAGTGGGTGCCTGCAGGAAGTTCTGGCTCTTCCTAGTAGGTGAGTGTTCGGCCCGGCCATAGTTACTCTCATCCCTCAGCGTCTGGAGTCGGGATTGCTCTGTGCCCATCGTGTTGGGATGGGTTTTAGCTCGCAGCTTCCTGTTCTGGCCGGGTTGTAGTTCCTGTGCCTTTGACTGCAGTGTTTTAGCATTGCAGTTTGGGATTGATGTCCAAATCCTTTCCTGATGGTGACTCCTTTGCCTTTAGTCCCTGCTAAAACATCTAGCAAGCATATGTGGGAATGGAGTTCCCCGCTGCTGTCACTGAGGGCTAATGGGCCAGAGGCCAAAAGGCTCAGAAGTTGCTGGAGAAATAGCTCCTGTAGCGAGGATGCGTTGTGGGGAACATGGCCGTAGCAACTCTGGGGAGCCTTGCTGGGCTGGCCTGGCATCGCCTCCGACCTACTCACAGGTTGTTTCTGCGCAGAAGCCCCAGACGCTGCAAATCTGCCTGTCCTGTACCGCTGGAGCCCTAAGGCAGTTGTCTGGCGCAGGCGGCACCGAGCCCAGTTCGCGTGTCGAGGTGAAGCTGACGTATCCTGCGCTCAGCACTGAAATGTCCTTCATCCGGACGCACGGAGCTATGTCCGGAAACCCTCCGCCACCCTCCAGATAAGCACGGCAGGGTGAATAGGTCCTGGTAACCTTCCCGTCATCAGGCCTTGTCTGGCTCCTGCCCTCCTGGTCCAGGTGGCAAAAGCCTCTTGGAAATCTGGTACGAGTGATGTAGAGAACCCAATGGGCTAAGGAATATGTCCTAAACGTGATCGGGGATGTTGGCACCAAATCCAGTGTGAGGGCCCCGCGCTGCGATCATCCCTTTCCCTGCAGTGCCGAGGAGGGAGGGAATTCCTGCGGGCTGTACAACCGTGTTCAGATTGGCTCGCTGAAGGGTTTGTACCCCGCACGACTTCAAGTAATTCCTCGTCTGCCCTTTCTGATGGATCGGTGCTTTTCCATCCTGTAGCCCGTTCCTGTTAAACGCCTGCTGGGAAGCCAACGCTCTCGCTGGGAAACCTCTGACTTTCCAGGCAGAAAGTGAAAGCGGCGACTTCCCTGCTGCTGAGACCAGCCCCGGCTCCCAGCAACCTACCCGCCAGCCCTCTCCGCGCGGGGCTTGTTTCAGTCCGGCTCCAGCCTGCACTGACAGTTATTCCTGGACGCTGCACAGCGTCCCGGGAGCCAAGATACACTTGTGTCTCGCAGGGGCAGCACCAGGCGCGGAGCCAAGAAAGCGGCGGCGGCTGCGTGTTTCCCTCCGACAATCCCTGCGATGCGAGGATGGAAACCCAAACCGGAGGCTCGGCCCGCTCGGCGCGGCCTCCCTGGCTCCGTGGAGGCGTTTTGTTCTCACAGCTCGGGAATCTCGAGCCGCGCTGGCTGCCGGGCCCCCGGGCGGCCCTCGCCTGCGCCGGGGGAGCCGGGGCCGGAGGCTCCCAGGGCTTCCGCGGGGTTTGCGCCGAGGACGGCGTTGAACCGTGTCGCACCTGCCATTCTCCGGGTCGCAAACCTGGAGATGGCCAGATGTTAC